CAATAGCCAGAATTTTATAGTTTCTTTAGGTGTGAAAAACATTTTGAGATATTGCAAAAAGGATGCTACATAGTAGTCTTGAAGATAATATAGATTGTAGTTGTCACTTATGCTTAAGTCATCTTCCTTTGCACATGGCACAGAGGATCGCAATGCCTGATATCAGAAATCATGTATGGTTTTGAAAAATCTTCCAGCGGACTTAATAGACGATAAGATGATTAGTGACCAGTTTGAAGAACCCGATCAACCAATGCAGAGCATTGATACGATCATGCAAATAATCTCAGAGGCAACAGTACCACCAATTGGCTTGTATAACTTGGAAATGATGGACGATGACATGGATGACTTGGATTCAGAGCCTGATCTTGATATTGATAGCAGCGGGGAGATCATATATGCAATGTGAGTGCATGCCATGCTTGTGAAAAGGAAGTTGTATCTGCAATCTTACGAGAACATTTGTGGACTTGTTGATGTGCAAAGCTTAGGAGATTGTTGAATGCTCAGTAACAAGAACATGGGGGTATTTACAATGTTTGTAATTAGTCAAGTTCTTATCCTGGAAGGGGCTTTTAATCTGCCCATGAATTATTTCTTCTATCACCATAGGAGGAATTGGCTGAAAAAGTAATGGAGTTTCCATACTTGAGTTCATAATCTTTTTATAATGTCATACAGTTTTGTTATGTTGTAATTCTTGTACTTTCCTTATATGCATTTGTGTCAAACAAATCATGTGCTCTTTCTGGTTTTTGTAAGTTAAGATGCTTATAGTATTAGGGCTTGTGTATGACTATGTTTGTTAGCACAAATTTCCTCTGTATAGTTCTAACTAATCCTTCTGGTTGATTTTATATTTCCTTAGTAGTAAAGTGCGTTTCCCCTATAATGGTCAAGTGACATCGAAAGTTTTAAGACAGCTTTTATCGTAAGGTTGTACCATGAGGTGTGTTGGTACAAGAAATTATTGGAGGAGCAGAAAGAACCAGGACTTGATCTTTCTCCTGAAGCAGCTTCAATTTCTGTTTCAATTCATGAAGTGGGACTTCAAATCCAACCATAGAATCAGAAACTTGAGGCATATTAGACAATCCTGAAAACCCAAGACTAGAACCATTCATCCACCCTGAAGAACCACTAGAATTTGTAAATACAATACTACTCCCGGATCTCGTCAATGAAACATTCCTCAACATCGAGTGGATCTCCTCCAATATGTTGCGATTTTCAATAACATTAACCCGAGTCGATTTACTATCCCTAAGCAGCTGAAATATACCGTCTATCTGGCAGACCTTCATTAGTGAATTTTCCAACTTCGTTAGTTTTCTGGAGTAATTCCACTTCAAAGGGTCGTAGCTTTTAATCTTGGAACACTTGAGGACTAGGTCTTCACCTTTCATCAACTGCTTCTTAAACATGTCTATTTCTTCATTTCGGCCGTCTAGGGCTTTGCTTAGCCTCTCAATGTCATCGAATACTGGTTTGATGTTAATGTCTGCTTCAAGCTGAGGAATTTTGAGCGGAAAATGGCGTTGTTTATGCCAACATTAACAACTGCTTTGAGGAGTTGGTCGAAGACTGGACCCAAAGCAGCTCCTCCCAAGAGAGCTGCTGCCATTGCTACGTAACACTGCAAAATGGATTATTTTGGGGAAAGTCTTGGTGAAGTGTAGCAGTAGGTCGTCTTCTAGATATTAAGGCATAGATTGGTGAGAAAGATTTTGGAAATGATCTTCAGGAAATGATCCTAAATCAAGGTAGCAGTCTCTTAATGTAGTTGTTTCTCTGCTGTAAAGAGCTTTTTCATCCAAGGCATCAATGCTGGCTTGCAAAGAACGAAGCAGATAATTCTCAGTAGGGAAGAGAATTTGCCTTTTTGACTGCATCATTACTCTGTTAAACCATGTCACCTCAGACTGGCCACACAATGAACGGCCTACAACTCTAAGAGCCAGTGGAAAACCGCCACAACTTCTCACCACCTGCCATTGCATGCCATCATTTAGATCCATAAAGCAGAGAAATTTATGAAGTTATATGAATTCGAGAACTGTATTATTTAGTAAAGATGCATTTTCACTCTCTAACGTTGCAAGCACTTGCACAATAGCGTTTTACATGTTCATTTCACATGTATTCATAACTAAATAATTAGTCAAAAGATCTTTGTAAAAGATAGCCTTTTACCTTATCAACAAGATCAAGTCGCACATCAGGGATGCCATCTTTAAAAGCTGAAGTGCAGAAGAGATGCTTTGCATCTTCCTCGCTCAAACCCTTTAATTTATATGTATCAAATCTTGGGAACACAAATCTCGAAGTGACCAAAATCTTAAAATCAGGTATCTGTAATTTAAGATGATCGATGAACTCTGATTCAGACCAAACATCATCCAGCACCAGTAATATTGGTTGAGGAGTAATTCTCCCAAGGAAGTTATTGAGTTGGCAGATTGCATCATGCTTAGTAGCGAACTCTGGGACCCTGTAGCCTTTCTTCTCAAAGATTTCCCCAACAATGCGTTTGATGTTTGGTGTTTTGGTAACAGTGACAAAAAAGATGTTGTCCCTGTATATGGCTATTAAGAGACAATTAGATCAAATATGCTGAAAATCAGCAAAAAGCTTAATCATCATATATTACTATAAGCATGAACAAAAAAAGTTGAAAGTTGAATTACGGTTTTACCCCTTCTATTAATTAAATTGTTATAAAATATTTAAATATTTGATTGTATAAGTTTAATTAAAATGTTAAATGACTTTTAGACTTCCTAAGATTAATTCCTAATTAAATATCTAATTTATTAA